CAGTTTGAATGTTAATGGTTACTATGTGATCTTAGCCAACTCTGTAAACCCCCGTTTTCCACATCAAATATAGGATTCAACCACTTACTTCATTGTAGGTTTAAGAAAAATGTGTTAGATGTATAATGGTAATCACATTTTTAGCCACTCAAGTATGCAACATTATGACTTTGCAAAGTCTATACAGCCATATCACATCAAATTTCTTAAAATCTAATGCTATTATTAGACTCATGATTATTTTATGAACTACTAAGAACACAGCCAATTAAACTCTTACTATGTATTGTAAGTAACATCTTGATATCAGAGTTATAAAAGAATACATATCTTACAATTGATGAACTACAGTATAAAAAAGCCCAGATTTTTAATTACAGTATCCCAAATTTAACTTCTATATAAAAAATAACAAAAAAAAACTATGAAGCATTAGCATCTATATGAAAACCTTTGGTGCCAGGCAATGCTTTGCCCAAAAAGTTTAAATGCACCCTAAGGAAAATTTGACCAAAAAACTAATGGCCAATAAATAAACAAACGTGTATGGAGCTGTAAATACATGTTGCTTCTATCATCCTATGGGTTAACTGTACATGACTTACATCATATGAATAAATCACAGCATGACAGAGTTTTAGATCTAAAAGGGCTCTCTGACATGATTTCATTTCACATATGTAGAAAATAAGATTTAAAGAATTTAAATGTCTAGTTAATATATTACATTGGTAATCACAGGCAAAGCCAAGATGAGAATCCTGGTTTACTGATTCCCAGTCCAGAGTATTTTAAAATTCTAAAGAGTAATTAATTTCTAGATTTAACTAAATATATTCACCTTAAAAATCAGGATTATAAGAAAAATCTGTGAACAACAATAAAAAATAAATGAAACATTAAAAGAAAAATCTGTATTGGGTATTATTTAGGACCACCAAATTCTGCAACTGTCAGTCACTAGAGGTTCATTGATTATCCACTATGTAAGTACACTAAGATACCCGGAAGTCTTCTTTTATCTTGAAAGTTTATGTACTTAGAACCTTTGATTTGAGATTTCTTATTAGGAGAACAAAGGCTTGCTTTATTAGCTACTACTATATTTCTTTTATTTTTTTTCTTTTTAACAGAGATCAAGTATTTTCTTAAAAATTTATTGATTGATTTTAGAAAGAGAGAGGAAGGGAGAGATAGAGAAAGAGAGAAAAACATTGCTTTGTCTTTTTACTTATTTACGCATTCACTGGCTGATTCTTGTATGTGCCCTGACCAAGGATCAGACTCACAGCCTTGGCATAATGGGATGATGCTCTAATCAACTGAGTTAGCCAGCCAGGGCTACTATATTTCTTTGATCTTAAGAAGTACATTTTTTCTTAATACTTCTGAAAACTTAAAATTGGTGGTATTTTATAATCTCTGTCTGACACGTAGTCATCAATGCCTACATAGGTATGTGCCTGATATTTGTTTAAACTTAGTTTTTTTTCTTTAGATCTTTATTTATTTATCTTTAGAGAGGAAGGGAAGGAGAGAGGGAGAGAAATATCAATGTATGGTTGCCTCTCATGTGTCACCTGCTGGGAACTGGCCTGTAACCCAGGCATGTGCCCTGACTGGAAAATGAACCATGATCCTTTGGTTCGCAGGCCCACACTCAATCCACTGAGCTACGCCAGCCAGGGCTGTGCTTGATATTTTTGGTGGTATCACTGCAATTCCTTGATGTGACAGTTAATAACTACTTTAATACTACTTGAGAATGAAAATTAACTCCAGGTTATTGTCTAAAAATCTTTGTTGGGACTTTCCAGTAAGATCAAGAAAGTACTATTATGAATGAGTATTACTGAGAAGAAAAATCCCAGAGACAATTATGGAGAATGCTGTAATTCAGAGGTTTTATAATTTTTGGTTTCAGAATCCCTTTATATACTCAAAAATTACAGAGGATCCCCAAAAGCTTTTGCTTATGTAGGTTATTATCTACTGATATTTGTCATTTAAGAATAATTATTTAGTCATTCCTTTACAAATAGCTATACTAAACCCATCAGATGTTCTTCTAATAACTTTGAGGTCTCTGAAGAGTCTTGGAGAGCCTCAGTTGTCACTGATCGTACTTTGAGAACCACTGCTATAATATGATACCTCTGATGGCACAGAGAACAATGTATGGGAAAATAGGAACAGCAAAAACTTTAAACCTAAAAGTGATTCAGAAGAGCTGGATTCTAAATTCTAATTCTAAACTGATTACACATTATTTTGCTTAAATTTTTCTTTTTATATATACATGAATGTCATATGATTTAAAAACCCCATGCCTAAATAAGGCTAAAAGAGCTCTTTCAATAGGTATAAAACAAAAATTCTATATGATAAGAAAAACATGGCAGTGTTTTTCTTTCTTTGTGGTACATAAAATAATGATATATATTTTTCAATTGATGGTATCATAGATTCACTCAAATACAGTAAGTATCATTAGGTCAAATTTGCACCATATTTTCTCTCATAAGAAGTTTGATATTACTGGGATTTTTATCTGCAAGTAATTACAGCATTGAAAGTACCAATTACAATGCAACCTACACACTGAAGAAAATGCTTTACATGGTAAATATTTGTATACATTTCAGAATGATATTATTACTAAATAAAATACTGAAATATCTTTTATTTACTCTTAAAATAGTCTGTTTTAATAGGTTATAATATATATATATTTAACCCTCATTTGAAGGTATGTTTTTATTGATTTTAGACAGAGGAAGGGAGAGAAAGAAACACTGATGTGAGACAGAAACATCAACTGGTTTACCTCCTTTATGCACCCCAACCAGAGATTGTACCTGAACCTAGGCATGTTCCCTGATGAGTCATCAAACCTGTAACCTTTTAGTGTATGGGATTACACTCTACCGAACTGAGCCACCCGGCCAGAGTAGTAATATTTTGATTTAAAAAGTTGAAATTCTTTATCTTTCACTGTTGATATTAGATTTATTCGTAGGCTTAAAATATTATATTGTAAACTTTAAATAAAGAGCAGGTATATGAGTTCTGTCCAGAAAAAACCCAGCCATAATTAATATACTGAGAACAGTTTGTGTGACATCAATGTAACCTGGTAGCTAAGGAGAATGGACTGGAATGCATATGTGTGGACAATGATGACTTCACTGGACTAGTCAGTGGGGGAGTTAGACCACTGAGTGAGCACGTGTACTGTGTGGCTGTCGTTTTCAAAATGATTGAGCAAGTGGAGCAATGAATCTGTATTAGATTTTGTGTTAGGCTTGAATATTCCTCTATGAAAACTATTCGGATGATTCAAAAAGCTGCAACTGCAGGCAACTGGTGATTGGCAGCTTCATTACAACAACATACCCACTCACACATCACGTTTCATGCAGAGTTTTTTGGCAAAACATCATATCACCCAGGTGATTCAGCCCCCCTACAGCCCAGATTTGGCACCCTGGAACTCTGGCTTTTCCCAAAACTAAAATAACCTTTGAAATGGAAGAGATCACAGACTGTTGGTGAGAATCAGGAAAATATGATGGGGCAGCTGATGGTGACTGGGAGAACTGCATGAGGTCCTGCGGTGCTTACTGTGAAGGGGACTGAGGGGTCATTGTCCTATGTACAATGTTTCATGTATCTTGTGTCTTATTCAATAAATGTCTCTATTTTTCATATTACATGGCTGGATACGTTTTGGACAGACCTCATATTTCAGATTTTTTTAATAATGGGAATTATACTTCACCTTTACTCATTTGTAACATTTTAAAGTGTTCTATGAATACAGAGAAACAAAAAAATAACAACTAAATATATATATTTACCATTCTAAGCCACTTACCTGGACTGTTTTTGCAGAATGATCTGAATGATTTAAAGTGGTTCTATCAGCATCTGGATCAGACTCTGTCTGTCTCAGGGAAGTACGTTTTTTCTTCGCAAGATCTACATCTCTGTTGTATGAGTATCCAAGTTTAGACGTGGGAGATAAGCTTGGTTTTTTGATAGGTGATTCAGGATCTGATCTGCATTCTAATGGTTTACAATTCTCTAATTTTTCTTGCTCCAAGTCACTACTGATGTCAAGAGTCTGAAACTTATGCTCGCCCATCACCTCATACATAAAGGGTGGAGACACATCCTTCTTTTTATCACTAACACATAAATCACTTAATTCTAGATTCTCAGCTTTTGATAACCTCTTCTTGCTTAACAAAACTTGCCCATGAGTTGAATCTGTATTGTAACATATTCCAGGGTCATCGGATCCTGAAGTCCTTCCAGAGCTCTGCTGGGACTTTTGAGGCTCTGTGTCACTTTTAGTCCTGCGACAGTAAGGGGAGGCTGTGCTTGGACTAAGATGATCATCAGGAGTCTGATGTTCACTTTCTGACTCTCCAACCCCACTATCATTTACAAATACAGAGTCGTCCTGTGATAAGAAGTCTACAGCTGCACTTGTAGGCTGCTGCAGGTCAGGCTCCTGTTTTAGATCACTAAGCTCTGCATAGAATTTTTCTTGATCAACAGAACTGTTTGTATCTGTTTCATAGTTTCCAACTTTATATGTACTTTTACTGCTGTTTTCCTCTATCTGAACAACATTTAGTTCTTGGCCACTGAAATGTGCCCTAATTTGATACAGGTAAGTCATAACAGTCAGTTTGTCAGGAATTGCTAATAAAACCATATCAGAAGGCTCCAACAACCGGGAAATTCCTATGCTGGCAAATCCATCATATGCCTTCAAAGGAAGGAAAAATAAAAGATATATTGAATAGTTCAGATAATCTATACATTTTAAAAACAGCAAAACAAGGGACGTTAATGACTTAATATGGTATTTCACAATGTATACAAATATTAAATTGTGTTGTACACCTGAAGCTGATATAATATTATGTCAATTAAACCTCAAAAAAAGTATATAAAATAAATAAAATTAAGTTACTATAAAAAAAACAAGAGGCTAGAGTCACACTTGGGTATAGCTATTGCCTTAGTGTGCCAGTATCCACGAAGAACAATTGCTGATGTTATTCACTGGCTCTGGGACCCTATGGCATAGTCAGGCACCAGGTCAGTGACATGCATAAAAAAAAGCAGCCAAATTACAGTGGATTTTTGTTGTTGTTGGAGGGTACATGTTACTGACAGTATGCAACACAAGCAGAACAAAATTCCAAGTCATAAATTTGTAAAAGTCAGGTAGATACAAGGGAAAAGATCCTTAATTAATAACAAATGAAATGTTCTTTAATATTTTTGTTATAAACAAAAAAATCTTGGAATTAATTTTTTAAGATAAGAAAATAAGTATAAGAAATAATTCATCTGTAGTTTAATCATTCCTATCAACTTCTCTCTTCCATGGTCATGCAGCTGCAGTGAGTTGTGAAGAAAAAATGCAGCGAGATGTTCCAAAAGAACTAACTCCTAGATTACTTAGTATAAAATACAAGAAAATGCTATAAGCCGAGAAATATAGAAACATTTTTTAAATGCTCAATTAAGACTGATTTTCATTATTAAAACAACAACTCATTTTCACTTCAACCGTTTTGGAAAGAATGAAATGTTTTGAGAAGTACAACTTACTTGAGAATGTGAGGCTGCATTGTATTATTTTTGTTAGTCTAAATGACTGTGGCATATCAGGTTTTTCTAGTTTTGAAGAATCAAAGTGGTTTCTCAATTTACAATTAATTATTAGTATCCTGACCTAACCCTTGAAAACAGCACTGTGTTGCTAGGAAGCATTAAAAATATGGCTGAAGGTTTAGATACACTCTTGGAAAAAGTAAGGACCGTCTGTCTAGTTATATTCTTGTTTTGGGATCTAAAATGTCTGGTCTTTGTAAAAACCAGATCTTTGTAAAAAAGACATAGGATCATAACTCAAAGTTTTTCTTTAAAAAAGTTAGGAAATGATGTAACAATTTAGAAGAAATTGGTCTTTTGCACTTACCCAGTAAAGTGCTTTTCTACCTTTGAATTTAATCCTTGTCATGTATTCTCTTCCTATAGTTTAATAAATGTTGTGAAATAAATTAAAAGAAAATTGAGATATTAAAACCTCTTCAATTTTCACAGCACTGTATTTCGTAATATAGGTACCTCAAAATATTTACTTGAGAGAATGGCTCAGTTGGTGTGCATGTTTAGGCCTGTTTGTTATTTTACGTGTCTTAGGAAAATTAAAGTCATTTTCCTTCTCATGTGTCCTGACAACTTGATTGACAGACATCAATTGCAGACCATCAGGAAAAGCACCACAGGCAGTATTCTAAACATTTCCCAATTATCTAAAACACTGACATATTGGTTAAGATCAGATCTCACAGGTAAATAACTTTATTCAGCACTTTTTACAGACCTGGGAAAATGATTAGCTTCCTTGTGGGGAATCTCCTGCTGGTGTTCTGCTTCATGTAGCAATTCATTTTATGCACACTAATTGCACTAAAAAAACATTTAAAAACAAACCAGGTTTCTTGTGAGGTCAAGACTTTATAAAGGAATTTTCCCATAGGTTAACCTCTTCTGCTATCGCCAATCACCTACTATCTTTTTAGCTGTTAATGTGTGGCAGAAAAAAAGAGGTCTTTGAAAGAAAATGGTCTTATCCATTCCTTTAAGTTAATTAATTGGTAAGCAGGAGTCACTGCCAGTTACCTTATGCATCTGCACGGAACTTAACATAGGCATTGTTTCTTGTTCTGCTTGAAATCAAATCAAGGGCAGATGGGGTTATCAAGAAGAACTGTGTGAAGCTGGAAATATATCTTCAGGTAGCAACTGATACTCAATGTAGATATCAGGTAAGAAGTTGCAAAGTGATGAAAAGACTATGTAAAAACAATTATCTATTGAATTGTGAAATAAATAGGATAATCGAAATTAAAATCCTTTCAAAAAGCCATGATTATCTGCCCTGGAAGATCTACTTGGGAAAAAAAAGTTAATGGGATATTCTCCTCTATGTAGTAATATGTAAATCTAAAGTGTGCTCATCATCATTAAGCTCCTGAAAAAATAATGTAAAGAAGTGTGACTTAAGCCTAAATGAGATTCCCCATTCTCTTTAAAAATATATAGCTTGGTAAAATCAACAATGGCTCCTTTCCAAAATTTCAAACAGCAACCTGAAAGCTTCACTTTATTAAAATAATAATTTATTTTATAATGCTTTCACCTGCATTTAAATTAATAACAAATAAAATGTTCTTTAATATCATTCAAATGCAAAAATGCAGGTAAAGAACTGTTACATATAAAGATATAATTTAACTGATGAAAAACAAGTCATTTCACTTTTTTAGACATAAGCTCTCTAAAATCATATAAGAAATATTTCATGAGAATGACTCTGCAGCATCCCCACCATAAAGGTGATTTCTATAAAGAAAATTATACTGATTTGAGAGAGAAAGAGGAAGTGGGGGAGAGAGAGAGATAAAGACATTTTGTTGATTCACTTACCTATGCATTCTTCCATTGCTTCTCCTATGTGCTCTGACTAGATGGAACCCACAACCTTGGCTTTCAGGGTCACTCTCTAACCAACTGACCTACTCTAGCTAGGGCTATGCTGATTTTTTAAAGATTACCTTTTTATGGGTAGCATATTTCAATTTAAAAATTAACATGTTTAAATGTATTTTCCTAGGGCCAACATCATACATTTGCAAAGAAATATAAATTTTATCATGATAATATAAATTTTTCGTTTTAAAGAGCAATAAATTTTTTAAAATTCTCGTGTGTTAACTAAACTTCTGTCAAGGTCCCCTTTAGAGACTTTTTATTACTTTTTATTACCTAATTTAAACCAGTTTACAAACTTTAGTCTAGAACAGAGGTTATTAATCACTTTATCCCATGAATCCTAACTCCTCCTCAGAGTAATGTTTTACATATATAAAACACATAGGATTACAAAAGAAGCCAATTATATTAAAACAATAAAACTGAAAATATTACCAAACTGTATTTGAGAACAGTAATATATGTTTTTTATGAATGCACTAAGTACTATAATTTTAAAGAAGTGATGAGCTTAAAAGTTATTTGTAGATATTTACAATTGTCGAGTAACATGAAAATATCTGAGATGCTAAAGGTGACAAAGTCTCACTCAAGGCTAATACTACAGTAGTTTGTTGCCTAAGTTTATAATGAAAGAAAATGCTAAATTTCAGTTAAAGAATTGAGAAAAATATTTTTCCCCTAGCCATGTTCAAGGATGCCCTGAATTCTATTCATCAAGAAATCATGTTCTAAGACAATAATTTCATTAACTTATCAGTTGAAGAATTCAATTCAGCACACACACAAAAGTTCCAAACAACAACAATAATTGAGCACTACTGTGTGGTGAGTTAGGTGGTTCCCTCTTTTCTCATGTCATGGTGTACTGCACATTGGGGTAAGTAGTTAAGTCAACCTGCTGCCACAGTCAGCTGGCCTGGGGGGACTCTAGCAACTCAGCCTTTGCACAGCTACTTCGAAGGGTATAAGGATCAATATCCTTCACACACCGATTGGGAAGCTCTGACCTCAGTATATTAATTAATCATGTGGGAAAAAGAAACCATTGTTCATATATTTTTGTTTCTAATATCACAGGCATTTTCTTGTGGATTTAGGTTCCTGCCTGCATCCTCTCCCAACAGGTTTCTCTAAACTCCTAGTAGTTTATGGCACAATAGCTTTGGGTGCACTTTTTAAAAGTTAAATTCTGAATAAATGCAATATGCCTTAACAAATATTTAACAGTTAATGAAGTTTGTACACATAGTATAATCTGATGCCAGACTAGCACCCATGACCTTTAAAGGTCGTGACAAACTAGAAAAAACCATGTGTCCTATTTGAACTGCAGGAAGTGAACTACTTTCTGTAAGCTCCAGTTATAACCTTACAAAACAACCTCACTTTCTCCAAATTAATAAAAGCCTGCAGAGAAGCCAACACTGAAACTATGTATATTTTCTTGGCAACTCTTACCTTTTTGTTGTTCTCTTTAATATCTTGAGGATTCAGAGATTTGTAGTCACTAAAGGAGAAAATAGCACAGTAGGGTATATGCAGTATTAGATAAAACAGCTGTTTTTAAAACAAACTAAATCTAAGAAATTGACATGCAATAATACCAAAGAGTAACTAGCAATTCAGTCAACAAAACTAATTATGTGGAAATTAAGAAAATAAACAAACAAACAAACAAACAAGTAAATGCAGTGATAAGGTGTTTCATTGCCCGAGGCTTTCCATCTAAAAGAGAAGTTAAGGCATGGGATCAGACACTAGCCTTGACAACCAAATTAACTACGAGGTAATCTCTTGTTGTCAATGTACAAAGAGCTACAGGCTTATTTGTGTCACCTAATTTTAATGGAAGCCCAATTTTCACAATATTTCAAGTCAGTACACTATGAGAGATTAAGAGAAAAAATAATTTTTAAAAAGACAGATAAGACTATTTTTAGGTATCAAGAAGAAAGAACTTTTCTTTCTGGCATGCATTTTTTTCAAAAAGAAGAGGTGCTGGCAATAAAAAAGAAATATAAAGTCAAGTATTTTAGGACATGTTAAAATTTGTTTTATTATTCTAAAAGCTGCCTTTTATTTCACAAAATATTTATAGGGAATGGAAAAAATTTTACTTACATTAAATCTGGTCTAAAGTGGTGTAATATTGCACAAAAAGATAAACCATTTCTCCACGATGTAGTAAAATTGGTGATTTTCACGCCCCGATAGTTTTTTGTAACTTCTTTGCACCATGCAAGCAATGACTGACTAGCATTTGGCTTTCGCCCCAAAACAGGACTTGGAATAGGACTTGGCTGGAAAAAAGGAAAAGAAGAAAACACTAAAATAACCTAACCAAAGACAAATATTAACATTAACTGACGTTTCCATTGGGTTGACCAAAAAAGTCTGTGTAGTTTTTTCTGTAAAATAAAAGACGTTTTTCATTTTCACCAATAACTTTATTATTCAGACATTTTGAGTATGTTGACTATCTCCCACATGGCATAATGTTGACTGTTCTCAATTAATGTCTCGATTTAATCACAATCAATT